ATATATATATATACACACACACATACATTCCTTGTAGCAGTGAGTTCTCTTGTTTTATACACAAAACTTAATTTCTTTGCATATTTTTAGGATTTAATTTCATGTTTGTTCCAGATCTTGCAGGTGCTCATGCACATGCCAAATTCTTACATTTTAGGCTTAGCCTGGATTGAGTGTTCGGGTAGGTAGCAAGGTCTTCCAGTGTAATACTGTCGCTAACAGGAGTGAGCTGGTTCTTGGATGCATGAAGAAATAAATATCAGATGTGAATGGGAGGACTGTATTGTGCTGAAGTGTAACATTGTCCAGATCATTACTAGGATGGACCCATTTCTAAAAATAAATACTTAAAGCTCTGGTGGGGGTGGGAAGGGGAGGAAGTACAAGTTCTCCTGTAGCAGCTGCAGCTCTGGGGAGCACTATGCTGGATGGGGAGCCTTAAGAAGATCAGGCTTTTTAGTTCATCCATGAGAAGGTTAAAAGGTGAACTTACTTGTAGTCTATAAATACCTGTGTGGGCTGGAGCTCTCAAAAGCAGGGCTTTAACTGGCATGTACACAGCTAGTGTGGCAATGTACAGTGGCTGACTCACGTTCGGGCTGGAAGTAAATGGTATGTGTCTTTGAACGTGAGTTTTGGAGGTTTTTTATGTCTTAATGATAATAACTGCCTTTGGAAACCTGTCGTCTGCAGCCACAGTAGGAGGGTTATCTCCCCTTTGTGAAGGAGATGCTATAATCCAGGTTATGGATTTGCTGAAGGACTTCAAGAATGAAGTTCTGTGTGTGTGCAAAGAAAGGATGATATTTGGCTTGTATATAGAGATCAGGCAAGGTAATTATACTAGTCTGTTCAAGCCTACAAATCTATTCTTCTTTCAGGGTGACAATTGAATGTTAATTCATTTTGATCTAAAATGAACTTGCCTAAAAATAGCTTTTTTTTTTTTTTTTCCTTTTTCCCTATGCATTTTTATTTGAGTATAGCTGCTTTCTGGGAACAAATGATCGGTATATAAAACTCTAGTGAGAGTGTGGGGACTTTTATGTTAGGGACTCTAGGTGTGAACTAACAGATGCAAGATTTCTCCACAGTAATGCGGAGTTGTCTAGTATAATATAATATTGTATAATAAAAACTTGACAAGTACTATTAGGCTAAGTAGGCTTAAATGTTCCAGCTCTATTTGAGTTATTAAACTCTTAAGTAATTCAGGTATGGGTTGTGGGTCTTTTCTATCCTGGAGAATCATAAACAATCTTGCAGAACATCTTTAGTTTTTGATTATAAGCTGTTGCTAGCTGCTTGTGAAGTAATTCTGTAACTCACATGAACCACTGGTACGTCTGCCTCCTGCAAGAGATAAACTGTTTTCCTTTTACCTGCAGAAAGCCACTACTCCTGTGACGAATGGAGTTGTTCAAGATGAGTTTTTTGTGAGCTTGAAGATGAGCACCTACTTGGTAGCCTTCGTTGTTGGAGACCTGAAAAACATCAGCAGGGAAACTAACGGGACTGTGGTATGTTTGTTCTCGAGGCCCTCCTGCCCCTTGCCCCTGGCACGGGTTCCAGTGGAACTGCAGACATGCTCCTCTTAACCCCAGAAGTCTGTTAGCCACATCTAGCGCCAACTACCTCCAAATCCTCCCTTCAGGAGAGCAAATTTAGCCCAACTTTCAGTCCGTGTTTAGTCATTTGAATACAATGATTTAATTATTTTGTGTGTGATTTTGTGTGTCCTTTTCCCTGAACTGCCTGCCCAAGACTCAAATCTAATTATGAATCTTGTTTCATCTTGGTCCTTTGCAGGGATTTGGTCTGCAGGGTCAGTGAGCAGTTCCCGCAATATGTGCAACTACAGTAAATAGATAAATAATATAGTAATACTAAAGGATCCTGCTTAACCCTACCTACAAGAGGTACGAGAGTTCATGTGAGCAGCCATTTTCCGTGGCTGTAGCAGGAACTGCCTCTTTGTGGTGATGAGTGGGAAGTGTCAGTGCCTGCCTAGCAAGAGCCAGCAGGGTCGGTGCTCATAGAGAAGGAGGGGAGGTGCTTTTCAGCAGCAGCACTGAGCACTGTTATCTTCTAGGCTAGCAAAGCACTATCATGGTCTGTCTAAATCTCTTCAATCTAGCATAGAGAGGTAAAGATACTGGGTCAGTATCAGTACACTTGCCTTTTGACTCAGTGAAGTAATTCTAGTGGTAGTTTAGTAAGACTTTATTTAGTCTAACCCAAATAAATTAATTTCTCTTCCTCCCCACCCCGGCCCCTGTGGCTGTTATTCATCTCCTTAATTAAACACCTTCCTTTCTGGCAAAAGTATTTATCCTGTCCTTTACCAGGGACAATATTAACAAGTGTGCTAAAAGTTTCATATTTGCTGAGAGCCTGAAACAACTGTATTTGCAGTATGCTTTTCTGTGCTCCTAAGAGTAAGCTTTAACTTGCATAGTTTGTTAGCATTTTTATGTCAGTATTTTAGAAGTATTTTATGGCAGAGCAAAGCCCATACGGTGAACATTGATGTAAGAATGATGTATTCTTACTGAGGGAAGGTGGTTCTTTCGTGTTCTCCTCCTCCGTTCTGACCACTAGAAGCAATAAAAAACTAGGAGAATCACATAGGTTTGAGTCCCCTGACACTTAACCAAGCTAGGGAAGGCACCCGAGCACCAAGGATCTAGGAAAGGGCAGGACTGCTTAGCAGCTTAAGGAGAGAAAGCCTCAGAATGGTCACGGCAGGTCAAGCTGGAGACCAGGAGGTGGCATGTTCTGCTGCCAACAACAGGTTATAGGCCTGGGGAGACTGAGAAGAGGGCAGGCACAGAGTGATGTTTTTTCAGAGATGTCGTCTCATCTTCCACCAGTTTGTGGTCTGCAGAACCAAAGAATCCGTACTGACCAGTTCGTGTAAAATTAGCTTTTTATCATGGGTCTTATAATGACAAGGTCAAACTCAGAGTGTGTAAAGTTGATTTGTGATCGTAACATAATGAATTTTTTTTCCAGACCCCAAAAGAACTCAGGTAGCTTTTTTGTTTGTTTTTGAGTTTAAAGTTTGCAGCTGATAAGGTTCTGTACTTTCAGCAATACTAGATTAAATCTCTACTGGTATGCGCTTGGTTCTGCTCTGCTCAGAAATTAAAAATGCGCCCTATCCATCCACTTGAAATGTTTGTTCCTTGATTCATAGCCTAGCAAGAGGGGCCAAATTAGGGCTTTTTTTTTTTTTTTTTTGTGTGTGTGTGTGTGTGTGGTTTTGTTGAGAGTTGTCTGTGAGCTGAAAATATAAAGGGGAAGAAAATACAAACAGGAAAAAAAATAGTCTCAGCATTTGTTGTATATGAAAACATGTACTAAATTTGGATGAGCAGAGATCTTTTAGCCTTATCAAATTTCTTACTGTGGTAGCTACCTCGGTGTGAGCAGAGAAAGACCTTAAATTCTAAATTTTGTGAAAGCTTCTTGCACTAAATCTAATGTAGCCCCTCCCTTGGGGAATGGATTAACTTGGTGGAAATCATCAGTTCTTGAGTGAGTTTCTTTTGCATGGTTTTAGTGATATAGTGATGATTTAAAAAAAAAATAGTGATAGTTGAAAATTGAAAATTGAGATTTAAGGTTTGCAGTGAGTAACAGTTAATGACACATGGAAGGGAAAATGGATAAATGTGTTTGTGAAAACTCTTCCTGAGGACTGTCCTAAAGGTGTTGTAAAACAGCTGATAGCCTTGCCTATACTTAAGTTAACATAGAGGCTATCCAGTTAATTCTGTAGGAGGCAAAAAGCTTCAAAGACAGCTCAGTAATCCATGACTATAACTTATGCGTGTCCAGAAAGTGTGGTCCAGAATTAAATCTCCTCCACTGTGGGGAGTTCTGCCTTTTTCTCTTCTAGAATTTTTGTGACTGGGTGTGTTGATTTTTTTTTTTTTTTTTTTTTCCCCTGATCGGACTAGGTATCCGTCTATGCCATACCACAGCATCTAAACCAAGTTGGATATGCTCTAAACACAACAGTGAAGCTTCTGGAATTTTATCAAAAGTACTTTCTTATAAACTATCCTCTTGGAAAGTTAGGTAAGACCTTTCTGAACTTTCCTGTTTTGAACAAGAAAAAATAAATTGTAGTGAACTCTAACAAATACAGGGGAATTTTCCTGTCTTTAAGCGGTGTTGAAAAGATAGATATCATAAAAACATAGCTGAAATAAGGCTGCCCAAAAATTATTTTTAAAGTTGACCAAGTGTTTGACTGGGCATCAATATTAAGTGGTTCCCAAGCTGGAAAACTGTGAGCTTTTTGACCTCAGATTGTTTAGACTTGTATGTGACATCAAAGGAAGAGTTTGGTGTCCTTTTAAACATCATGCGCTTGGGTAGGGGGATACAAAAGTCACTTTGAGTCATGCGCAACATGACTTTTCTTTGTGTCTGACTGGGAGAGTTCTTAAATGCAGGCTGCTAAGACCACTTGCCTTCAGTAGTAGCAGCAGCTATTCCTGGTTACTTGTGTCCATGCAGGGTCTTTAGACAGGGTTTGTCTAGTGCTTTGAAGTTGTTTATTTTAGGGCATTGCTGTAGAAAGATGGCTATAAATTCATTGGACAGCTTCTGTGTTTGACAGTGAGACACAGGATATAAGTAACAAGGGTTTTAGGGTTCGTGTAGTGTAATGGGTAGATTTGAAATACAGCATTGCTTTGATTAACAGTTTCCGACAATAACTGTAGCCTCTTTTAACTCTTTTCCAGATCTAGTGGCTATTCCTGATTTTCAGGCAGGTGCTATGGAAAACTGGGGATTGGTCACCTTCCGAGAAACAACACTCTTGTATGACAACAAGGCATCTTCAGCAAGAGATAAGAAGCTGATAACTGCAGTGATAGCTCATGAGCTGGCCCATCAGGTATTGGATCATTTAAATGTTTTCCAGACAAATAGAGTCATCTTGCATTTTAATTGCCCTCCTAACCTCACCCTGATTGTGGTGCATGGTTTATCTGTGCAAAATGCTCCATTATCCCCATACAAAAGACGGAGCACAACTCTGCCCTTGTCTGCCTACTGAGCTACTCATGCAAAAGCCTTACTGTGATTTTTGACTAAACTCTTCTATGGCACAAGATCTTTTATAAAGTTGAGGGCAAATGTAGTGTTGCTATACTTTTTTTTGTTTGTTTCTTTGTTGATTTTAGTGAGAACATAAGGTATGTTTTTGGTCTGTCCTAGTGGTTCGGCAATCTAGTAACTATGGAGTGGTGGAACGATCTTTGGCTGAATGAGGGATTTGCAACTTTCATGGAGTACTTTGCTATGGAGGAGGTTTTTCCAGACTTGCATTCAGTAAGTACTTCATATAACTAGACTTACATCTTCATTAAGATCTGTAATTAGTACTCTAAGTACTGACTACAAAGGATTGATACTTATGAACTCACTTTGAAACTTTGTGGGCCATTTAAATCTTGCTTTGTTTCTTCTGTTTTGACATTTTAGCACTGCAAATAATATTGTCTTAATCAATTTTGGTTTTCTCTAATACTTGTTGCTGAAGGTTTTTGGTGTAATAACCTAATGGTGGTTTAAAAACTTACTCAGGAACAATGTGACTTGACTTCTCAGACTCTGAATAATCTGAGAGCTTCAAACATAATCTTTTACTTCCATGGAGGGGATATCTGCTGCTATGGTAGTAAAGCAACTCAGAGAAAGGAATATTGGTGGGACTAAAGTGAGAGGGCAGTGCACAGACTAAGTTTCTCCCCATAGTATAAAGATACTCCTCTAGGAGAGGCTCTATTTCCAGGGCTGCTTATTTGGCTTGCCTTAGAGAGTCACTAGATAAAAAGCCTAAGTGATACTGCCTCTTTCTTGCATGCTGAATTGAATTCACAACCATCTTGGCTGCTTGTGAAGAGCTTTTCAGCATGTAAGCTCTTAACTCCCCCTAGTTCCTGTGTAAGGGACCTGGGCTGATAATTTGCTTTCTTGCTTCAAGCTGGGTGTTCTAAAAGCTTGTCGGTTGGCCTAAATTTGTTGTTGTGTTGGTGCCTGTGTGAAAGTGGGATTGTAGCTGGGGAAGCTGTTGTTCTTGTTGGGCACATGTGTAGTGAGGGGAGAACACAAAATTAGTCCACAGTTTAAAAAAGAGACATATATACATACAGTGTATGTGCACTTCATTCTCAACTGCCTGGCAAGCTGCTTTCACCTGCGTCTAATTTCACCACACGGTGGAGCCAAAAAGTGTTTTATTAAAAGTTCACTCAGAAATTTTGCATTTAAAGAAAACAGCTTTAAAATATTACCTTTTAAAGAGCGTCTTGATGGTCACGTATGCTGGGGTATGATGTTTTGGGGAGGTCGTGGTTCCTGTAACATTGTAAGATCCATTCCTGCTCTGCAGAAACTGTACACAGAAGTATGCAGTCATTTTTCAATGACATGTACAGCATAATAACTTCAAATATCTTCATCCCAGAAAGAAAAATAGAAGAAATGTTGATATTAGAATTATTAGATAATTATATTCACACATTTTATAGTCAATTTCACTGCAGCCTTTTTAAGATGAAAAAGTAATATTAAACTTTTTCCACTAATCTGATATAGCAGTATGCTTATCTTCCTAAGAGAAGGAAAAAGACAATTTTTATTTTTCTTACCATGTATGTTCTAGCTTCTCAGATACTTGTAACATGTTTCTCTTTTAGGATGAAGATTTCCTAAATTTGATTTTCAAGGCTATGATGAAGGATTCCTTGAACTCTTCACATCCAATCTCTTCCGCTGTTCAATCTTCAGAACAGGTCGAAGAAATGTTTGATGCACTTTCTTACGTAAAGGTAAATTAAAAAATTTGGAAAGTGATTAACCTTTGTAAACATGGATGTGGACTTGTGAGTAAGTAGGCATATATCGACAGTCCTTTTAGAGTAGTTTACACATAGCCCAAACAGTTTTGTTCCTAAACTGTTTCTGAGCAGCTTTGTGATTTTTCATTAGGAAAAGATTATGTGTGCTTATATAACACCTTTCTGCTTGGTGTGTGCCTCAGCACAAAAATAAAATGGAATAAAATAGGAAACCTTGGGGACAGCAACTGTTCCCTTGAAAACAGTGTAATGATGCATCTTCCTCTGCTCTGTGGAATGTGGCTCCCTCAGCTGTTTCAGTTTGCCTGCTGCTTTAGCTGGTACCCTCCGCTTTTTCTTTCAAGACTTAACAACTCAACGTGTTGTTTGGCATCCCTTGGCAACCTGAGAAGCTGAACACAGTGCTTAGATTTGTGGTGTACTTCAACTTTTCTCTTGCCCTGTTTTCTAAAGTACAAGAAAGGAGCTGTGTGATTCTTTCTTTTTTTTTCCCTTTTGGGGGGCTTCTGGTGCTTGTAACAATGTAATTCAGAGATAAAATTGTTACTCTGATCAAAACTATATAACTTCAATAGAAATATTCTAAAAGTGATTGAGTCAGAATTTCAGTTGCTTAGTAAAACATTGTTAGGACATTTATATTAATTTATTGCTACCAGATCCTTCATCTTTGTGCCCATTCTGGATGGGAATAAAATGACCTAGATCTCTGAGTTTAGGAGCTAACCAACTGAGTTTCAGCTTGGCACCCTAAGAAACAAGGTTCTCCTTGCTCCCTTTTTTGAGAGAATTTAATTGCACTGTGGGTATTTTTTTTTCTTTTTCTTTTTTTTTTCCTTTTCTTTTGTATTCCACTGCTCCCGGGCCTGTATGTTGGCTCATGCTTTTGGCAATTTGAGTGGTTAGGTGCGCACAACTTGATCCCTGCTCAGTTAATCCATTTCACAGCTTGCTTAATTTTTACTCTGTTACCAAGTGACACAGATGAAAAGGTGATCTCTACATTTTATTGCCCTGGAATAGAAATTGCTATGCAAAATTATTTTGGACAGGTTGCTTTGCTAGCTAGGAAGCTAGATGGTGTAACAGTAGCATTTGGAAACATTTGACACTAGGAACTCCTGAGGAAAACCAAAAGTAGAGCATATAGCCTAAACATGCAGGCATGCAAGAAAGGAAAGAATGTCTATATTAAAGCTTGTGGTAAGGGGTATTCCCACACTTTCATGAGTAAGTGAGATTCATGTTGTTCTGGTGGACTTCAGTTTCATGCAAGATGTTACTTGAATTCCAAGACTTTACTTTGGAATCTGTGAAAACCATGCATGCCAACATGAAAATCTTGCCTTTTAAGTTTTCTTAATCCTTTCTCTAAAACACATTTTAGCATCAGAAATGTAAAGCATACCTTAAATTTTCAAGGACTATGGCTGCTTATCTGCACCCAGTTGTACAGTGTGCAATTCTTCAGGCAATTTATTGGCTAAAGATTGTGGTTTTGGAGTGTTTCTGGAGAAGGATAATGGCTTTCTGCTATGTGAAACACCTTTCTGTTTACACATTCCTGGCTGTTTTGAAACTAAAGATAATATGCACTGTTTTGCAGAATTAGCTACCTAATATGTCTGTTTAATAAAACATGCATGTATCTAAACACTGTCAAAATGCACTTCTTCGAATGCCAACCTAGCTCCCCTGCTGATAGCTTTGGCTTTTTGACTTAGCTGCAAAGCCTGTAACTATCAAAAAACATTTCTCACGAGTGCCATTCTATACCATACAGATAATTGCTAATGAAATATGACAGCCAGCAGAGAGACTTCAGTAAAAAAGCAATATTAAGATTATGTTAATTGGAAAAAAAAATCTAAACTTTTAGCTCTTTTTATAGGTAAAACAAAAGAGTATTTGGAGGTATTGAAATATTCAGATTTTTTTTTCAAAACAGATTGTTAATATATTTGTTAATATAATTATTCAGATGCTTGGGAAAAAAATCTGGTAGCTTCTGAGTTAATCATATACTGTGACAGTGCTATAGTTTGTATATAGTTCAACAAATTCTTTAACTTCCCTTTAATTTACCTATTTGTTTGTTTGTTTTTCGCCAAGGGAGCTTCACTTCTGTTAATGCTGAAGCAGTATCTCACTAAGGATGTTTTCCAAGCTGGCATTGAGGTGTATCTGCATAATCACAGCTATAGATCCACCAAGAGTGATGACTTGTGGGACAGCATGAATGAGGTATCCATCTTTGATGCTCTGCTTGCTTTTCACATGTGTTGTGGATTTTGATTTATTTCCTTGTTTGTAGAGAAAGTAAGAGAATACACTACAGATAGATACTTCTGAGTTGCATCATACACATGTGAAGACAACTGTAGCTTCTAGCACTCCATTCAGGAGCGTACTAAAGCGTTATGATAGTGGATATGTGTTACCTTATCTACCAGGTGGGGTGCTAAGATATGTCAATAAAAACAGTTATTGCTGTGGTAAAAATATAAGACCGTCATTTCTGACAGAATTAGATTGATTAGCTGACTAGGGAGATTTTTCTGGTTTTGAATGAAACTATTTCAGTGGCACTAAAACCTAAATTGACTCGTCTGGAGCTAGGCTCTACATAGATTAGAAACAAAGCTTTCTGCCTCTGTTTGTGGCTCAATTTTAACGCAGAAGGCCTGAGATGTAGAACAGACAAACAGACTAGATTAGTTTCATGGCCTCTTAACTTTCCTCTTATGTCATTTTACTCCTGTTTTTATGTTTTGGCTGATTGGCATTAATTTTCTAGTTCCTGGTGGCTTCAGAATGTCAGTACAGGAAAGAAAAGGTAATGATATAAAGGACAGTGAGAGAGGTTTTCTCATTCAGTACATGTTGGGCATTTATAAAGGTATTACATAACATATCTGTAGTATCAAGAGTCTCATTTCAGTGATCATTGCAGTATATTGGAGGTAGTCAGAGGAAGAGGATTTAGCCAAATTCCAAAAATCTGTGGTTTTCAAACTTTGGTGAATTTAAATCTTCAAGAGAATTGCTTCACTGGAATTGAAAACCCTATTTAAGGTTGGGTGTTTTTTTGTTTTGTTGTCCTGTGTGTGTAGGAGAGCTTTTGATGTGTCATTCTACTTGTAATACTCTAGTCCTTTACCATGAAGGTGAACTGAACATGGTAATGTAGCTTTGGACAGTGAACTTGAATTCAATTCCCTGGGCCACCAGCTGATGATGACAGCGACTAGAAAGAGACATGGGGTGGGTTTGTACAAAAGTGTATGTAACTTGAATGATAAGTTAATTTCCTAATGTTCCTGTGGACTTCACCTAAAATGCATATTTTGTAAGTAAAGAGCACTTCTGAAGGTCAGGTGATCATCTCTGCTAGTAAAGTGGCAGTGATGCAGAGAAATGCACTAGCCCATCAGTGTGGATGTGGTTGTACAAATAGTTGCTAAAGGATTAGCAGAATATTGGGGGTTAAGCTAAATAGATGCTAGTAAGCAGGATGAAAAAAAGAAAAAAACAATTAATATGAAAGTATTTAATAGATGCTTTGTTGTAAAGCGTCTTCTTTTCAATTAAATTTCTAATAATATTCTCTAACCTGAAACACCCAGGTAATAATCAACAGAGAAAGAGAAATGGGTAGGGGGAGAGAATCTACACTTAACAAGACTTTCTCTTCTGTAATGCTCTTGGCTCTATTTTTTGCAGCATACCATTTTTGCATCACTGGTGTATCTGTATTTCTCTTTCCACTGCTTGACTGAGATTCCTTCTACTTAAGAAAACAGATTTACAAATGCGATGTCAAAGGGAGTCTCTGCAGGTGCTGAGTCCTCTATTACTTACCTGATGAGCTACAGAGGGAGATTTGAAAATGGTTGTTCTTTATTTGCTACCTTCTTGATATGGAGAGTGACTTTTTTCTTTTTTTTTTTTTTTTTTTAATATTTAGATTACCAATGGGACACTAGATGTAAAAAAGTTAATGAAAACATGGACCCTGCATAAAGGATTTCCTTTAGTGACTGTTGTTCGAAGAGGAAGGAATATTTCAGTACAACAGGAGCAATTTTTGTATCGTGTGGAGCCAGAAAATTGGACATCATCTGCAAGGTTATTACCACGTTATTATTTGTATCCATTAAAATATATCTGCAGATTTGTATGTCTTTCCCATTTGTGTCAGGGGCTCCAGTATTTTCTTTTGAAAGTAGGCAGTAATAAAGAGGATGTAGCACAGAAACACAAACATTTAGTATCTGTCTTGAAAAATAACATATGGTCCTTGGAAGTTTCCACCTGGGCAATTGGTAAAACTTTGTGGGCATGCCTCATAACTTGTCCTGAAGCTTTTAGATTTGACATCATGAGCTGCAGTTCAGCTTAATATCAAAAGACAAGTCTCTCCAGTAAAGCGATTTTTTGTTTGTTTAACTTGTGTCTTTTTGAGTTTTGTTCATTAGAATTTTAATTTCAGGAAATTGTGTGGTTAATGGAAGCTGAAAGGAGGTTCAATTGAATGGGAGTTGTAGGGGGAAGTGCTGTGATAAAAGAAATTGCATATGACCTATTTTAGAGCCTCTGCTTCTTTCAATCAATATTATATATGTCCTTTGAGCCGTGTTGGAGGAGAGTATAGAAGACACAATCAGAGCTTTCTTTGTTTAATGTTTTTAAAATAACACTGACATGATAATAGATAAATGTGTGAGACGTTATCTCTACTGTGCCAAGGAAGAAAGGAGAGTAGATAAGTAAATGATGAGGAAGCAAAGACAAGTCACTCGATGATCATTGCAAAGCTGAATTTACTGCATGTGTTTAATATTATTAAACTTCAGTATTTTGTAGCAAACTGACGTGTCTAAGTTAAATCCTTTGAGATTAATGTTTGTTGAGCTGTTTGAAATACTGATGGGAACAGAAATATTACTGGGAAGTGAGTCCTCTGCATTATCCTGTAGAATCAGGCCTGGAAGAAATTTTTGTCTTGAAATGCTGGAAGTTCCCATGCTTTGTCTTATATTTGTTTTATAAAACTCAGAGGAAAAAGGCAAATGATGTGTGGTTGAAAGGCTAGGGTAGGCTTTTTTTTTTTTTTTTTTGGTAATAGTCAATTCTTATCATTTATAGGCAAGCCAGCATTTGCTCTTACATATTGACTGAGTCTGGCTTGATGGGATCAATCACTTATGGTTTATGTTAGCGTGATTTGAAATTTTAGTTGTGTACTTGAATCAGCGTAAATCATAAAATAAGAAAACCCTCTGAAGCTTCAGCCAGTGTTCTTTTTGCCTCAATCCAATGTTTTGTCTGGCTAAATATCTGAAACAACCGGAGATTTCCTTACCACGTCACTTCAGACAACCTACTTAGACTGTTGGGCCTGAGAAAAGTACTCGGAACTCAACCATCTCCCAAAGATGATGGGAATAAAAAAATGATTTTTTCACTATTGTAGTGATTTGAATTTAGTATATGCTTCGTCGTGTTGCACAATATGTATACACAATTAGTATGTTAAAAGGCTTAGGAATAAAAAGTAAGAAGACAAATATTAAGTATGTCAATAAACATTTGCTTTCCTTTGCAGTTATCTGTGGCATATTCCTCTCACCTACATAACTAGTAACTGCAACTTTACCCATTGTACTAATGCCTATTTACTGGACCAAAAGTCAGGTATGTGACTCAAAAATAACTTGCTTTCTATAGGTTACTTACCTTTCCTAGCACACACTTTTAGAATATGAAGGCAAGGACATACAGAGGTTGTAACTGAAAACAATGATCTTAATTACTGTGATATGCTTGACAGCTTTAGGCTATGCATAAACATAAGCATATGCATATATATGCATAAGGCCAACGGCAGGTCCTGTTGTGGTGTCATCAAACATTATCAGAGCTGAGCGCCATTAGCATCTTATGTACAAATAACTGGGACAGAAGCAGAGGGCCAAAGCTCATAGAAGCCTGTGTTCTTTGCAGTGTGACAGACTGCATGCATCAAGAAGCTTGTCGTTTAGAGACAGAGCAGAGGGAGAGGTACTCAGCCAGTGTACTTAAATGTGAGGAACTCCTCTTACTCTCCAATATTATTTACTTCATTTAATAGTGTAAAAAAAATAATCTGGAATAGACTTAAGTTTTTGTGAATGCTTTTGTAGCTCTCAAAATTCTTGAATCCTTCTCTCATGAGCTATGGTTTATCTGCAGTGCCCAATTTGAATCTAAATGGGTAATTTACGTGGATTTTTGATTTGGTCTTTTTTTTTTTCCTCTTCCCAAATCCATTAGTTACTCTTTTTTACTCTGTGTTGTGCTAAAATCATGTTGGCGATTTATATTGGACTCTCGACATCAATAGGTCTGTGGTGATTTTATAAAGCTGATAAGCTGTCTCACTGTCATACATCTGCTACTTTATCTTTTTCTCCCCACTTAAATACTTAAAATTTGCTATTCAGTGCATTCAAATGACACAAATATGTTTAATTCCCAAGCCAGTTTGAAATAAAGCGGTACAAAATTAAAATCAAATGCTTAGTGCTAAACTTGAGGTTTTTAATGGTTTGGTGAGTTCACAAACTTCCAGCCCTCTAAAATGGCTTTGGAAGCATGACTGTCAAAGTAAATAATGTCTTTTTATATCATCTTGTTGTTGCTTTTACAAAGTCTTCAAATTATTCTTGGCCGTTGTCATTTGAACTGAAGATTTAGAAAGACTTTTTAGGGATTATCAGAATGAAAAAGCAGAAATGTTTAATTCTTTGAGTTCTTGACTTGATTAAAATGAATAGGTAAGTAACCTCATTTCTTTAGTGTTGTGTGACCTATAAACAGCTCTGCTGGTGGTCTTGTCTGTCACTTTAATTTGGCATTCACTATAGGAACTCGTGTGGAGGATATTAGAGTAGGAGAGGTGTACAGAAGACAGTTTGGGGTGGAATGGGATTGACAGAATGTTTATTAAACCTTAGCGACATTGCAGTAGAACCTACTGATAACCTACTGATTTCATTTTTGATGGTAGCTATCTAATGAGGTGAAAAGAAGGCTTTTGTTTCCTTTATCTCAAAACTTCTTTTCCTGCATTTAATTGTCTTTGGAAGTAGAGCATGGCCTTTTCACTTAATGTCATCCCAGTTTCTGTGACATGTTAGTACTCATAATCAGCTAAGACAGTTTATATATAAACAGTGTCACAGAGTGTTCGTGTATTGCTAAATTAACTTTAATTGTAGTAATCTATCTAGGTAGACTGATGCAATCAATGTAATCTTCATCTAAAAGTCAATGTCAAAATTAAGTTGCTTAGCATACTTCCATATTTCCACAGTCAGATTAGCTGGGTTTGCTTTTTGTCTGTTTTTGGTGATAGGTTCACTGCTAGAACACAAAATAACTGGCTCGCCATGACTGTAGCATAATAATGCTCATTTTATTTACTATCTTGTCATGCCTGAAATTTGACTTGTTGAAATGTTGATCTTGATCAACAAGGTCATCAAGGCCCATTTATCACATACAGTTATCATTAATTAAAAATGCTCTTTCCTTACTTTCTGTATTTGTTCGCTATGCTGTGGCCCCAAGGCATATATGTGCCTAGTTTGGTTTATATTCCTCTGTTGTATTTTAGAGTGCATAGATAGATGCAACTAGGAGCAGACTGATGCTGTTCATTCAGTCAGACCCAGCATGGATGGAGGAAGAAGTACAAACCAGAATTTTGGACCCTTCTCATGGACCAACATGGCTTTGCTTCCTCATAGCAAGGGAGACTGTTGCCATAGTGAGTGGAAAAGGATTTCTTGACCATCCAGACTCAGTCATCTTTAGACATTTGGAATTGAAAGAAGAGATGCTGAATGTTCGTGTCTGCTGCTAACTGGTTCTCTCTCCACTAGCTGTCATTGAACTTCCCGAAGAGGTGGAATGGATAAAATTCAATGTGGAAATGAGTGGTTATTACATAGTACACTACACTGAAGACTGGAAAACGCTGATTGATCTGCTGAAAAAAAATCACACTGCTCTCAGCGCTAAAGACAGAGCCAATCTGATCAACAATATCTTCAGTCTTGCAGGGTAAGACTTCTATATTGGTAATGTTTTGTTTGTTTGTTTGTTTGTTTTCCAAGTCAAGGAAGATCAGACTTGGGTTCTGAAGAAGACTACTTCACATAAGCTGTTTTCAGTCTTCCTTAGCCTATTGAAACTGCTCCCAATTCAGTAAAAGTAACTTTACTGCTCGTTCTATATTGGTGTTGTGTGTTGTCATCCTGATATTTAATAGCAAAGTCCATTTCTTTGCATCACAAAGAACACTTGGTTGTTTGGGTTTCTTGAAGGCCATGTCTTCTTTGTTATCTGTTTAGCAGTATTATTCTTCTATACTCTGGGAACGTCCTATAACGTCCTATAGAACGTTCTATAATCTGGGAACGTCCCATTTTAGCAAAATAAGCTGTTTGCCTCTAAAGTTATAACTGACTCCCTCTCGCATCATGCATTGGCTTCAGAACCCAGCTAAGACTGAATGTTCTGGAAGGCCTCTTCAGTCATCGATTATTCTAATCTATGGTTTTGAGTCCTCTTAATTAAGTTACGATAACTAAGGCATATTAGTGGCTGTGGTTGCTATCTTCATACCAAGACAAGAATATGAAAATGTCTGCATCTAAACTGTTTCTTATGTTAATCCCTCTACTTACCTACCTGTCCTTCTCTTAATGTAATTGAGAATATTATAACCTATATAAGAAAGGTGGTATCTCTACTAGATACAACATTTTTGTTCCAGAACCACTTTGTTTGTGCTTGTTTATTTTATAGTCTAGGAAAAGAGTCTCTGGAAAAGGCCTTTGAGCTGATCGATTACCTTGAAAAGGAGAACTGCACTGCACCACTCACTCAAGCTTTATTTCAGATGAGTCTTATTTACAATCTCTTAGACAAAAAGGGTGAACAACAGCTGGCAGCACGAGTAATGGTATGTCTTAGTTTTTTGGTAAATTCATGTTTGAAATAATTTGTGGTTTATTATAGAACAATATTATTTTTTGTTGAACAAATTATTTGGTAATCATTTTAAGGCTTTGGATATTAAATTGTTGCCAGTCTTGCCTGTTTGTTAAGTAGTAATGGTCTCTTACTGAGATGCTGAATCTTCTGCATTGACTTTTGCTTATGTTCAGTGTTTTTTAGGAACTCTAATGCAGTGGGAGCATAGTGGTGACTCGGCATTTACTACAATGGCTATAAAGGTCAATGTAGCACAGTCATAATTAATCAAAATCCATGACATTTTCAAGTACAGAGAACAAGAGAAAATATCTCTTTCTATGCTATTTAAAAAACTCATTAAAGTGGCTGTGGTTGGTAGAGCTAGTTCCTTTGCATACCTCTCAACCTGGCCATTTTCTAAAAAAAAAAAAAAAAAAATAGAAGTGTGAAAATAGTTGTTTTGTTGTCGCATCACAGTTGGGGAAATAGATTAACATCCAGTGCTGCAAGCTTAGCCATGAAATAAACATTGTAGGTTTGTTCTTGTTCTGTTCTCGATTATTTTTGTGGCAGGCGTTTCTTTTTCTTTCTTTCTTTTCTTTTTTTTTAATGCCCATATGAAAGAATGGATATTCTTGTTTATATTCTAGGTAAGGATGAAATAAATGCTCAAGGCAATTTAAGAAAGGACCAAAAAAGCTACAAATTATGTGCTGTGAATGGTAGTGCAAACTGTGGTTTGCCCGTGCTGGGTACTAGGTTATTATAGTTGAACTTCAGTTTTCTGAACACAGCCGCTAAGGTAAAGCTCATGTTAGCAGCCACATTAGCAAGTCTCAGGTGAGATGTAGTTGCTGTTAGGTCACCTTGTGAGCTATAAAGCTTCACCCATAGACGAAAGTTGGTTTACTTTGAAGTCTGTTAACAGGGATTTACTCAAATGAAAACCACTTATAAGCAGAAGCATATAAGGAGTTGCGTTTAGTTGAGGTAGTAAGCTGACTGTGAGTCTTGGGAGCTCAAGGTGTGGTCAAGTATATATGTTGGCTCAGAAAACACTTACTGCCTCCCTTCTGCATGTCACAGGGCCATGTGTAAAGCTGAACTCAGCTGCTGCCTTCTTTCTACTACAGTAGTTCAAGCAGGCACTGACCCAGCATGTCTTTCAGATGTAGGTGGTGTCCAGTGTTTACATAGGTGATAAGATAACAGTGTATGTTAATTAGAATAAGATGTAAATCTGCTAGGGTGAATTTCCACGTTTATAAAACTTCCTATTTTTTTGTTTATTTTGTATATGAAATATACTCTTGAAGAATTAGATTTTTACCCTGTTGCTAATCTAATTTCCTCCTTTAGCATAGAATAGAAAGTCTCCTTGGAAATAAAATTGATCAGCAAACATGGACCGATGATGGGACCCTGTCTGAACGAGAACTGCGGTCAACGCTGCTGGCTTTTGCCTGCACTCACCATCTAAGAAACTGCAGAGCGACTGCCACTGAGATGTTTAAGGAGTGGATGATTTCTAATGGCACAAAAAGGTACCAGGGAGATTCACCTAGTGCTGCTTTTATCTGTCAGTTTTCCTGTTGCCTCCTGTGTTTTGAACAAAGATCTGAATATTGACAACGCACTTCATTACATGTCATTTAATGTTTCTCATCTAAAACTAATTGCCGTTTCAAGATGAGATGGAAAACTGTACCCCAATTTAAAACTTTGTCTGCAGTCTTATTGAATGTGACTGCAAGACCAGCCACAAATTGCTTCCATCTGCATTTCCTAAGCTGCATGCTCAAGGAGAATTACTTAGTAGCAGCATCAAAGTTAACCTTTTTATCTTGCAGAACTTGCTCCGCTCTGAGTTCACGTGAATTTTGTGCCGCAGAAAATGATTCAAATTCTTGTACCATTTACTGTGCTTTCATGTGACTAATGTAATTTACTTTTTCCCAGTGAGTTAAATACTAGAATGGCAAGAATTCCTCTGTCCAGCAGACTTGTTATTGCTGCAGAATTAAATTTCTCTAACAAGAGACATCTCTTCAAGTATAACTACTTAACTTCTCTTATTTTGTGCTTTCTTCCTTCATTTCTAACATAAGTATTTTTTGTCTCTCTGCACACTTTTTCTTAATCTCTTCCCTTCACTCCCTGTTTTTCCTTGTAGTCTGCCTAGTGACGTTATGAAATCCATATTTGCGGCTGGAGCCAAAACTAATGAAGGCTGGGATTTCCTCTTAAAGATGTACTCCTCTTCAATTCCTGAAGCAGAAAAGAACAAAATGATTGAAGCTTTGGCCAGCACGGATGATGTCAGAAAGCTGATGTGGTATGAGACAGCCAAAAAGCAGTAGACTATATAAATTTAAAGTGTTAAATCTTCTTTGAAAGCATAGATTGTAGGCTTTCCTGTTGCAGAATAAAATTCTGAATGCTAAAGACAATATAACCACGTGATTTGTACAGACTTCCATAAATATCAAAGTCTGATACTTACTCTTACAAATGTCTTATGTAACAAAGTAATTCAAAAAGTCAAAATCAAAGACAAGCAGAGCTAAAAGCTTTGCTTTGCTGGTCTAATAACACAGTTGCAGATTGTCCTATTGAGTCTTCAGAAACTGGTATGTTTTTATACCAGGAAAATAAATAGGACCTTTTAAATAAGTATTCATTTGGATGAGATTTTGGCCTAGTATTGTGCTCAAATACCCAAATCTCACCAGAAGTGTCCTGGTGGGTGATTCTTGTCACCCACCACCAGATTCTTGAGAAGCTTTCTTCTCTTGATTTGTTTGTAAAATATGTTTTCTCTTAGAAGCTGTGAGAATTTACTGCATCTTTTCATAAAAAACAGTGAAAATTCAGATACTTGGCTTAGAGCTAAGAGCATTCTGATGCTTAGAAGCACAAGGTAAATTAATATGGTGGGTAGTAATTACGGCAAATATAGTTAGTTATTTGGTCTATTACTGAATCTTCCTTTAGTTCAGGTGTATCAGGAGAAACATGTAAAGTGGTGAATGGACTGTGGTGGTTTTGTTTGATTTTTGTTTGTTGTCCTATTTCATAGTGTTATCTTGTAGGTTAATGCAGAACAGCCTTGAGGGCGAAGTCATCAGGACACAGGAGCTTTCACATATCATAGCAACTGTCAGCCAGAGTTTGCCTGGATATTTATTGGCCTGGGACTTTGTTAAAGAGAACTGGGAAAAGCTGACACGAAAGTAAGTTGGTTATTTTGGTTTTTTGACTTGTATTAAGATTTTTAAGCTTGTTTTCAAATATGATCCTCTTCAGAAAGAAGTTGAAACACAGGCTTTGAAGTAGTTTAATAGACAACGGGTCTTCAGTGCCTGAGCCTTGTACTCACTTCAGAAAATCCTGATTTGAATTCCTGTTAAAAGGATACTGTCTCTAAGACAGTTGTGGCGGATGTAGGATTTATGTGGATCAAATGCATTCAAAAGCAAACCCATGGAGTTCACTCAGCATGCATTTCTTTTCTCCTTTTTATAGCAATTCCAAATGCAAGCAATAAGAAAATCCCTCTTGCATTAGAAATAATGTTTTCCTTAATCAGCCCTACTGGCTCCCCAGCAGGAGAGCTGGCCTGCAAGTCTGCAAAAAACTAGCAGTCATTGGGAAGTGTGTATTCTGAGTCTTAATTTTGATTTGGAATAGCTTTGTATTGCTTAAAGCTGCATGAGAATTCCTGCTCCAGCAAGCTTTTAATAACCAGTATGACAAAATTACTGTGCTTGAAATTGAATCTGGGAGTGAATTTAGTTATTGTAAAATTTTGGAATGCATACCACATATACAAGTTTTGATATTAAGTACAGGAATGTCTTCGACCTTTTACTTTTGGAGCTGGAGTAGCAATTTGAAAAATCTGCATGTCTTTAGCTCTAAAACTCCTTTTTTTAGAGAGGTTAACAGTCTTCAGGCTTGGGCTTCAAAAAGCTGCATCTCTTTTCAAAATGAGTGGTCTAAACTTATACAAATACTGTTAATAATTCTCACCTCCAAAACAAAAATCTGAGAGTGAGAATGTGTATGTGTTTTGAACTTGCATCTGCCTGTAGTTCCTAGGTGTTTTCCTATGTGTTTATGTTTCAGGTTTCACCTAGGCTCATACACTATCCAGAATATTGTTAGTTGGTCAACTTGTCAGTTTTCAACAAAGACGCACCTTCTTGAGGTAGGTGGCATAAACTAGCAGAAAGTGTTGCCTGTTAGTGGCAGTGCTGTGCATCCCAGTTAATTAGGGAGTGAGGAAAACGCCTACTTTTGGCATCCTTAGGGCCTTTTCACAAGAGTATACAGCTATGGCTATCCTTTAATCCTCAGGTGGGAAATGTACCCATAAACTTGTTGAAGGTTACGTGTTTAACTGGTGGTTAGGTGTATTTGTTTTTGTTTCCTCTTGCCTAGAAAATAGTTTCCCATAATAGAGATAATGAGTTTTGGGCCTAGATTTTTGTAAACAAACTCTGCTTTCTGCATCTCTGAATCTGATGGAGGGCTGGAAATAATGTACTTTATTTTGACTGTCAGCAGTGTCGAAGAACTTTTGTGGCATCTGAGGATCAGATAAATCTGTGATGCCTCAGGGATCTGCCCCCAGTCTGTGCCCCCTCTTCTAAGGGTCATCTGGGTTCAGAACTCAGGGATGGTCTGTGGTTTAGCCTAATGTTCTCACACAGGTAATTTTGCTCTTGCTGCAGTTTCTATGAAGGGTTGCATTTGGAGAATACCAGCCCTACTGCACAGACACACGATCCGCTGTTTTTCGTTGTGGCCTTTGCTTTTGAAACTGCTTGTATGGTCTATGGTGATATCAACTAGAACTTTTTTTTTTTTTTTTTTTTGTTGATGTGCAGGTGAAGACATTTTTCGAGTCAAGATCAGAGGAAAGTTCTCAACTGCGTTCTGTAAAAGAGGCGATTGATACAATTCAGCTCAATATCCAATGGATGGAGAGGAACTTAGCAAAACTACAGGAGTGGCTGTAGTGAATGAACACAATACTATGCTTTTTTCAGCCATTCAGTGAATTTGTGGACTGTTGCTCTGTTACTTTTGCAAAAGCCAAGGTGAAACCAGGCCTCGCTGCAACATTGTTTGCACTATTAGGGAGTCTAGATAGCTCAGGGCACATCTCACGTAAGTTTTGATTTTCCTTGGAGCATTTATGGGCAGGGTGTAAGTATTCTTGAACTGTTTTCATCTATAGACCAAACACCTGCATAAACGATGTTAAATACTTTTATATTTGAAACATATGCCCTTTCATTTGAAGTCGTGTTCTAATTTTTCAACAGTGGGCAGATACTGAGAGAGACAGAAAAAAGGGAAGGTTTATCATGCAAGCTGCTCATTCTTTGCAGAGTGCTGGTTGAGCAGTAGGGTGTTTAATGGAAAAAAAAAACAAGCATTTAAGTAGTTTTCACATTTGTAGATACAGTAGCTGTTGTGAAACAAAATCACACTTAAAATATCTAAGTACTAATGGATCTCACAAGGTACACCAATTGAGGGAAAACAAATAAGTTTCAGGTTTGCTTCAAATTTTGATTTTTTTGAGTGTTCTCTAGAATTTACACAAATATTGGGAGTAATATAATATTCTAATAATATACACTTTCATATGTAAAGTGAGTGTTAATATTACATTAGGAAAAACAAAAAAGCCAAATGGCAAAAAGAAATGTTTTTGAGATGGGAGTTCCAGAAGCGCCTATGTGACCCTGGAATTTTTACTCTGAATTCATTAGACATTTTTGAGAATCTTTAATAATTAAATTGTAATTACTGTTGCTGTATTGATATTCTTTAGCAACAGGTGAAATTTGCAATGGGAAATTGCTCCAGGCTGGTTCATCTACTAGATTGACTACTGACTTGTCTACTCTTGACTACTGATTTTTAATTCCATCACTTGTTGCAGAGAGCCTGCATTTAGTAGATGTGTATCAGCCACTTAATTTAGGTAAGCTTCTGCTTTTTCCCCTGCCTGTTACTCCCCATGTCACTAGTATAAATTGCGTGCATTGCTCATTTTGTATAACATAGCATTAGGATTGCTTATCACTTACATTTTTATGGTATATTCTTCTGCTGTTTTGGAAAAACTGCAGGGCACAAGTCTTCCAACTTCTCTGAAGAGACAAACCTAAAACCAGAGGTACCACATTAAAATGACAAAATACCTACCGTACAATCTGCCTTTCTGTCTAAAAGAGTTGAGAAGGCCGTTTCTGAGGCATAGCATATACGTACAACATAGGCAAGAATAAACATACTGTTTATCTGACGATCTGATTTTTTTTTTAATGTTCTACATGTTTTTTTAATGTTCACTACAGGTGAACCTTTGGGGATTTATGCACACATTTAAACTTGTTTTACCTTATCACAGTTCAATTATGTGATCAGACTTAAACTAGTATAAAAGTGTTTACAATTAAAAGTAGAGCTTTTCTAATTAGATGCATTTAATTTCAGCCAGTGTAAATTCTGAAGAAGGCAGTATCTTGAATGAGAGTTAATTTATTGGATATATAAATTTGCCAGCGGGTCACTTAAACAATTTTAGTTTTTTTTTTAGGTTTTTTTTGGTTATGTTCTTGGACTGTTTGAACCAACTGTCATGTGGGTGTTTTTTTTCTGTATTTTTTTTTCTTTCTTTCTTGAACCTTGAATTCTCTGTAGAACTATCTTAGTTCTATCTGTGTATGTGTCTGCGTATGTGTGTTTACATAGTTTGCCTATATTTTTCTTTACAATTACTTCGTGTTAAATGACAGTAGTAAACTTGTACTTTCCTATCTCCTTATATGTGTTTTATCTCATCCCCTGTCTGCAGAACTGAGGTATATGAATTTCAAAGAGAGAGTGGAGAAAGATCCCGTCCACCTCCTGTTTTCAACTGCAGGATTTAAAAAATACCATTTTGTTTAAAAGCTTTATTGGTAATGAACTCTTTGCAAGGAAATAGTATGCAGCAGAGTTTTATACAGCATATACTAAAGAAACATTTGAAAGTTGGGAGCTTGGAGTGGTTTTTATTTTGTGGGGTTTTTTTTTGTTTGTTGTTTGGTTGGTTGTTTTTTAATCCAGTGATCTTCAAGTAGCCTTCCTGGTATATAAATGATGTTGCATTTTTTTTTCAGTGTCAGTGGTAGGGGGCTTTTTAATTATTTTTCTGCCATGGAGTCTCTAAACTTATGTTTATCTGTATTGAGTTATGTTGGAATCCTCCTTCCATTAGAAATACTTATGTACACTCCTCCATTTATGAGTTCATTATGAAATGAGGAAAACAGAAGCATAGGCTAAGGCCAAAGCAATGACTTGCCTTTTAGAGCCATAATCTGTCATGCCTTTTACTGGAAAGGAATAGAATCTTACCCCTTGTTTTTTAGTTTTTCTCTGTCTTCCAGTCAAAAGAAACATGTATATTGTAGCTACCAGTGACTCTCTACGTATTTTTCATAGTATTTTTTAGATGCAACATGCAGAACCAGCGTTTGTGTACATCTTAGGCTACTGTTACTTTAAATTAGAAGAGCTTTCTGGTAAAAAAAAAACTTTGGGTTTAAATGCTGCTGGCTTTGAATCACCTGCTGCAGTGTGAGATAGTTCTGGTTTATGAATTGGCTATACAGTTTATATTCAGTATAAATTGCTGTCTTCGAAGCCATTACGCAATGGTTGTCTCCTTACTGTCTAGCATCCTCTGCTTATAAATAAACCGCTTGTAATTTTTAAGAACTGACTGTGGTGATAAATATACATGTAAAAGCTCATCTGCTTTTCACATCTATGCAACTTTTTCTCTTTCCTCCATGAAGTTACCTTGCTGGAAAAAATGTAAGCAAGTAATTGAGTTCTGAGATTTGTCCCTGAAAAAAAGGAGAAACAAACTCACCTTTAGTTTTTAAGAGATGGAAAAAGTGCAGATAACTTACAATGTGCTCTCAGCTTGCGTGAGACTTATGAGACATGAAAAGATGGTAACGTGTCGTATGAAGGAGTTTAGGTTAAGTATTTCCGTGTAAACTGATTGCACCTATGCATGGGTTGGATCAGTGCACCAAGGTCATTGTGCCTTATGACTTGCAATTATGGTGATATGCCAGGTAGTGTGCTAACAAGTGTCCTGCTTTTCTGCTGGAGCCAACTGAGGTCTTGTTCTTAAATTGACAAGTTTAATGTTTCTAGCCCAAAGATGTTATTTAGGATGTTTTGTCCTTAGAGACTGGAGACTCTGCTTCTGGGAGCAGGTGAAACTTTACTTCCCTGCTAATGGGAAAGCAGAATAGAATTGCAAATGGGGCTTTCTTGTCATACAAACAGTTCCCTGTGTACGTTTGTATGTGTTGATGGATGAGGCATGGCAGAAGGACGATGCTGTTCCCAGGCTTTCCTTGCTTCCTATAAACATGATGTAAATGGTACTGCAGCATAGACTTCCAATTACTGAGCTACTGAAGCAAGACTGTAAGATCTTCAGAAACATTGCAGCTCCTCCCAGGCACTGCATTGCTGTCAAGTTGATTCCTTTTTAAATTAATCTTGAAAATTTTCCCTCGCCCTCACCCCTCCAGTCAGTGTGCAGGTTTGCTAGAGACTTTGTTTGCACTGTGGACTGTCATGTGTTATTGTCTGATTTAGCAGATAGAAGGCATAGGAAGATGCTGTTTGCCGTAGAAATGAGAACTTCAGAGTTCTTGCAGCATCTAACATGGTTGATTTTAGGCATGTGTTGTAGAAAACATCTACAAGAAAGCTATTCCTATAATTATTTTCTCTTGGTGGTCAAGTACTTTAGGAAGGCTTTTTGTTTGTTTATTTACTTGGGGTGAGGAGAGCTGGAAAGGGTGCACACACATACTGCTTTGTAACTCTGTATTTTTCACCTGCTCACCATTTGGTGAAACATTCCTTTTATTCTGGCAGATTTGCTTTCCTGGAAGATGTTACATTTCATTGCAATCTGAAGCTTAAAGTAGCACTGCTTCAGTAACCATTCTCTCTTATGAGCACTTGTTTCAGTCATTTACATTTTAGCTTTTTCCTCATGTTCCTGAATCATCTAACATGTAGTCCAATCTATTCACCGCATGGTAAATGTTTTATGTTTAGAATAAAGTACTTGTGTCAACATGTTTTTAATAGTAATGTTATTTATGTTTATCACTTTTATCAAGATGCTACTAAATGTTCAAGGATTTTTGTTACTTTTTTAAGGTATGGTCTCATGGGATTTCTAGAAAATAAAATGAAGACATTATTTACCACATTAAACTCTCAGGACATGTTGCTACAGAATTTAAATCTCTAGTTTTGCTATGTTACTTAAATCTGCTGCTGTTGTAGAAACACAGATTTTATATGTGAGTAGGTAGCTTTGTTTGAATGCCATTGAGACAGGCATCTTTGAATTAGTCACAGTGGTATTTAACAAATTACTGTAAAATCTAAAATATCTAGTTTTATAAAAATATACTAGCTTAAGTGGCTTAAAATGGTCTAATTTGAACCGAATTCTTAGAAATGAAATACTGACTTTCTATTTCAAGAATTGGAAAATGGGGTAGTTTGAATATATAGCATAAAATAAATAATTTTTTTGCAGTGAGAAATGCACTATGCTCTTTGCTAAGAGTAGGTTAAGTTCGATATCCCTGAGGAAAACCTTGCAAGTTAATATGGAAACGTTATGCAGGTGCTTATAAAGGGTCACGCTTTACATCTTAAGCACTGTAGAAATATTCAGAATGATGACATGTGTCTGAATGGTGGGTGGTGAAATTCCAGGTTGTAAAATACTTACCTTTAGGGAGAGGAGTTTTGAATAATGTGTATGTGTACATAGCTATATAAATATGTATGTGTGTGTGTATATATAATACGCAAATGTGTCCATTTCACTTGTAAAGGGAGAAAAAGCTTATTTTCTTTATATTTCAGAGAAACATAACCAGCACTGATTTGAAAGGCATGTGTACTGCAAACACTTTCGCTTTTTGTGAGATGAAAATAAAGTATTTAAATAAATAAATTTTTCATTGTGTTGTTACCTTTTTGTTATATCATAAGACTTTGAAAGTTCAAGAAATGTTTAGGAATTTTTTCTTTTCTTTTTTTTTTTTTTTTTTTTAAAGCATGTAGAATTGTGACTGAGGGCTGAGACATAGACTTAGAAAATCTGCCAGGGATAGCTTAGAAAATAGCTGAGGATGGTGCAGCATTGCAAGGGATTGTAGG